TTTATGTTAAAAGAAAACAATAAATAGTACACTGAATAAATACATAGGATTAGGTAATCTAATTTCTTACTGAAGGATAGATTTGGGACTTTCTGAGTTGGGAAGGGGTGAGTGAGCAGGTGGAATTCTCTGATATCAGATGATTTACAGGAAAATGAAACTTAAGTTTTAAAATGTAGGTGGTTCACAAACTGGAGTCAGTTTGGTTCTCACAATTCCCCCCTTTGACCCTTCTCTTCCCCCTGCCTCCCATGGATCACTACAAGCCAAATTTGAGGGTTTTTATATGCCCATTATTAACATCATAAGCATCATAAACCTAGAAAAGTTGAGTAGAAAGCATCCTTTTGCATAGCTTTGTACAACAACTAATACAGAATGTCTAAAAATAATAAAGAAGTATAAAGTGAAGAGAGCCCATTTATCTACGGTGGCTAATATGCCATTTCCCTGCATTCAAGTGAACTAGGAGGAAGGATTCCACCAAGCTTCACTTGGTGTAGGCAGTTGTGTTTCTGTTATAATCTGTTGGATTTTCTGAAGGCTCATCATAACCTCTCCTGATTGATTAATGTAGGAACAACAAGATTGATCAATCATAGCACACACTCCTCCTTGTGAAGCTATAATAAGGTAAAGAACATTGTTTTCATTGATAGGTAACTCTACTCATCAATCAGGACAGCTCTGATGAGTGTGATGACAAACCCAGAATCCATGGGACCCAATTTCTCTAAGATGATAAGCCTTCCCTACAACACCATGAAGTTTACTAATAGTATTAAGTCTTTTCCAAACCTCCTAGGAGGAGTGGAATCCAGGAAGAGCAATGAGAATTTAGAATTAAGTAACAACAGGGAAATGAGCAATATTTAAAACATATGATAAGTAAGATTGTGAGGCATAAAGCAAATAGTATTGTGAAAATTTTTCCATTTTCCCCTGGTTGACAATTTTTCATTCCCATGATTACTGTTTTTTGTTTATGTTTTTTGTTCTAAAATTCTCTTGTGAAGGAAGGAGAAACACCATGTGATATTATTAAGATAAAGTAAAACAAAAACACTTGCTGATACATTGTTTTGTCTCTTGGGTCTTCTGAACCAATACAAAGAACAAAAAGAGGGAGTCCTAAGGGAGTTGCAAAGACAGAGATTCATTGGGAGAACAGAAAATAGTGACCCTAAGTTTATAAAAGAGATAACAGCTTAACAAGTTAACAGGAAAATTGGGTACAAGGAGGAAGGAATGCTCTACTGAGAGATGCCAACTGTAACCACATGGGGACACAATTTGGAAATGCTTTGAGGCTTCCCTGAGATCCTGACAACATTTATAGATCCAATAGAAATACTCAGAATCTGATTTGGACATCAAAACTAAATTAGAAGCTCTAGTATCTAGTAAACAGTCATAAATCATGTTACCAACTTTAAGCGAGACTTGGGATTCACTGGTGCAGGGAGAGATAGATACTGGGATAGTGGGGCAAGGACATCAGGATTGACGAAAAAAACCTGAAAAGATCCTCATCAGAATCTGTGGTTCCTCTCCCTCCCCCCATGCCCTCCTGCCTAAGACCCTCCCCGGATCCCTTCCAAGGTCCCCTCTATTTCTATCCTTCCATCCTACTTCTTTCTACATTCTATGGCAACATGGCCTTTTTGGGTGTGACAATAAAAACACTTTTGCAGCCCTCAGTTCCTTGATACAGCTTGAATGAGAGCTGAAGCTGCTTGGGCAGGGGCCCAAGCTTGGAAGAGAGCCAGGGCTGTTTGGGCAGGGGCCAGGACTGGCTGAGGTTTTGGAGTAGGTTTATCTTTTCTTTATTCTTTTCCTCATAAACATATTGAGTGATGTTTTCAAGCTCACCAATACCTTTTTCACGACATCTAGGGCAACCCATATGAAAATATTTTCATATTTCTGGATATGATTGACTAACAAAGTATGTATTAATGATTCGTGCATGTCATGGGTTGAGTGGGTCTAATCCCCACATACCATTTAGTACTCTTTACACAGCCTGTCATAAAAGCAAGTAGGGGTTTCATTTTCTTCCTAGACAGTTTCTTGGAGCTTACTCCAGTTTGCGGGACAACGCATATTTCCATGCCCTGATCAAGGAAGGAAAGGATGGTTATTTTTCTTCCATCCTTGTATTCCAAGGACTAGAACAGTGTCATGTACATAGTTAGCAGTGAAATTTTGATGCAATTGAATTCAGACACTCTGCTCCATTCTCTGGATTACAATCCTCTAAGTGCTCCTTTTTCATTTCCTTGTGATATAACAACAAACTTGTTGGGGAAAACTTGCTTAACAAATTTTAAAAATGCATCTAAAAAGAAAAAAAAAATTCCCTGATCTCTGTTCTCCTAAAGGGTTTGTGGTCCTTCTCATCTCTCTCATTCTGTTTGTATTTTAGATTCTAATGAAGTACCTTAATTTTGCAAATCTGGTCATGAAGGTTTTCCATTTGAGCTACCTTCACAACTGTGAAACCCGCAGGGGCCAGGTAAGAACCCAGACATAAGAGAACTCTACCCAGTTTGATTTGTTCTTGAGTCATTTACGTAGGAGATATTGGGAAAGAAACCCACTCATCCTGGATTTCCTGGCCATATGGGTTGTCTCTCCCATTAGACTTTGAGCTCCTCAAGAACTGGGACTTCCTTTTGCTTTCTTTCTATCCCCAGCACTTAGTACAGTGTCTGGCACTTAGCCAACGCTTAATCAATGCTGTCTGACTGGCTGACTGATTGGATATTTATAATGCTGCATTGAACTCATGCTAAGAAGGCTTTAAATTCTTTGTTTGCAGTTAGGGGAACTACTGCTGCTGCTGTAGCTTATCCTAAACCCTTTGCATGTTTTCTTTGTATTCATTTAGATACTCCTGTGGTCTGGGAGCAAAGTGTTTGAAGAGCTTACAGACATTGAGAGACAGTTCCACAAAGCCCTTTACACAGTCCGTGCCTTTCTCAACTGCGACAGATACTCTGTGGGGCTCCTGGACATGACCAAGCAAAAGGTTAGGCAATCTGTGGAGCAAACATTGTACGTCAAGGTTAAACATGGTTTGGATAGAATCTATCTTCCCACATCCACCTCATATACCTCAGGAGAAGCCTGGGAGAATTGGGGTCATACTGTGAGTGCCACATAATGGCCATTCTTTTACAGAAGGCATGTTGCACCTATTTCCCATGAAAAGTCACTTACCTACACCTAGAAAGTGACCAACCCGAAAGCTGAGTAGCAGCAAAACATACTTTTGCTTGCTAGGGTCATCTGAAAAGTAAACACCCACTTGGGTAGGACAAGGGTTGTTATCTTCATTAAATTAGCAGAAACAAGAGACAGGAGAGGCAGAATGAAGGGAACATTGATTAAGACCAGGGAACCCACCAGTATATTGAATAAATAAATAAATGATGGTGAATTTACTTCTAGGTTGTGCTCAATTAAAGGAGAGAAAGTAAATAAAAGAAGGTAAAAGAGAGAGAACAAGAAATGAGAAGAGAAGAAGCCAAGGAGGAGGCAAAGAGACAGGAAAGGGTATGAAGAGACTTAGGGAAGGAACCGGTATTGGAGGGAGAAACTGACAAGAGGAGACAGAGAATTTCTTGAGTTGAAAGCTCAATAATGTTGAGCAGAAAATTTGAGTTCTTGGAAAATTATATATGGAGAGTCATATTCCTGACATTTTTTTCTCCAATCCACTTTCCCTTCCTCAACAAGGGTTGGCTTCTTCATTCCTTCTCCTCTAGTCTGTCTGTCTGTCTCAAGGCAGGGGCAGCTAGGTGGCACAGTGGATAAAGTACTGGGCCTGGAGTGAGGAAGGCTTATCTTCCTGAGATCAAATCTGGCCTCAGACACTTTCTTGCTATGTGACCCTGTTCAAATTACTAAACCCTGTTTGCCTCAGTTCCTCATCTGTAAAACGAGCTGGAGAAGGAAATGGCAAACCACTCTAGTATCTTTGCCAAGAAAATCCCAAAATAGGGTCATGAAGAGGCAGATACAACTTAACAACAAATCTCAAGGTAATTTAGAATAAAAGGACTTAGAGTTGGAAGAGACCTTTAAGGTTGTCTACTACAACCTTCCTAATTTTACAGAGGAGGAAACTGAGGCTCAGAGAAATTAAGTGATTTTCCAAAGCTCACACAGGTAGAAAGAAACAGAGCTCAGAGCCTCTGACTCCAAATCTGGCATTCTTTCTATTATCCTACAAAGCCCACTAAATTCGCTTCCCTACCAAAGATCTATCTAAACTTAGTCAGGTAGCATTTTCTGATTTTCGTAAACTTCAGGAAGTTTTGGTCTTTCTGAGAACTTAGGGATTAAAGCATACAGATAAACAAACCAACTAAAAAATGTAAATCATATTTATGCTGATTAGACCACACAGACGGGTCTAGACTAGAATGTTTCTCTACCACTGACCTGACAGTAGTAACTGGCTTAAATCAGGCTCAGTCAAGATTTGTAAGGTTCAGCAACAGACCTTTTGCTGTTCCTTCAGAAAAAGTAGCTGTTGACTTAGTGAGTCCAACATTCAACTGCCAGAATGTGGAAGATTCCTCACTATTCCGAAGAGTTATGGTTGCAGAAGAATTTAACCCTAGGCTTAAGCCTGAAAAAAAAAATCTGCTTTTTCTGAACTCTTTCCTAGGAGAGAAACATCTTGAGAGGATGTTCCAATGAAGTCAGCCCCCGGAGGGAACAACTGAACCCTTTGGGGAGGCATGTTTACGATGACTTTAAAAAGAATGTTCCAGCTAGCAGTGTGTTTACAGAGGAAACTAAGCAAAGACTACTGGGCTGCCACTCTCTCAGGGCTTGATAGGCTCTCTAAACTATTACAGTTTCCTTGTGTATCCGGTATAGTGTGGTCCAGAGCCTGGGTTTGAAGTCAGAAGAGCGAGGTTCAAATTCTGGCTCTACTATTATTATCTCTTGTAATCCTAGGCAAATCATGATCCCTCTCTGGGTATCATTTTCCTGATCTGTAAAATGAAGGGATTGGGGAGACTTGGAGGTTCTCAAGGTCTAAACCTTATGATGCTTCAGAACCCTTGGAGGAACAGGAGACAGACTTTTCCTTTAGATTTTCTTTCCATGGAAGGTAGCTAAAAATTGTCAGCATTGATCTCAGTGACTTGGAGAGACCAGTGAAATAGCTGACATTTCTATTATTTTATGGTTTGCTAAAAGTCGTCCCCAAACTACCCTATGAGGTGTGTACTACAAGTATCAATATCCCTATTTTTCAGATGAGAAAAATGAGACCCTGAGAGGTTATGAATTTGCTTATGATATAGCCACACTGCTAATATGTGACACAGCCAGGATTCAAATCTATCTTTCCCAAGTCCAAGTCTACTGCCCTTTCCCCTATACCATACGTTCTCTGGAAGAAATTGGGCATTTGGCTATACTTTCTGGTCTTTTCCCATGGTGGATTAGTATAGCACAGCAGCCTGGATACTGGTTAGTGGAATCTGTCTGAAGTCGACAAGGAAGACACTCACAGTAAGATTACCAGAAAGGATGGTGAGGATTCTCTCCAGTTCATATATAAACAGAAACTGGACATTTATAGCTCTGTGAGGACAGTTACTTGCTTTGGTTTCCAGGTGGCTCATAGAGCTTTTGAAAACTTGGTCAGAGGAGCCCCAGTGAAGCATCAGAGGAGGTCTCTAGTGGAGCTGACATATACACTTAAATAAATGTTGTTGCTGTTGTTTTAAATCTCATCTCATCACCTCTCCTTACAGCTATCCAAAGAGTGAACAATATAGTAAGCTGGTCATGTAGGCCTAGGAATCAATACCAAAAGGAAATTTGTCTGACCTTTGAGAGAGTTAATAAATTATGAAGGAATCACAGCTACAAAATTAGCAGAGAATGAGGCAAAGGTGCTAGGGTCAAGCCAACCTCTTAACAACCCAGTTCCTAGTCATCCAAGGGTGCCCATGAAAGTCAAGAGGCCTTTAGGGTATGATGCATTATCCTGGGACTCCAGCCTTTGCTTATCACAACATGCTATCACTAACTTTTCTGTATTCTAAGTTATTCTTTTGATTTGGTCATTTTTCAATTCAGTTCATTCATTCACGTATGTAGCATTTCTTATGTGTAAGGTACTGTGTGGGCTAGGAGTGAACATACTAACGTTATAGGAAGAAGTATAACCTCTAAAATCCTTTATGGATCTAAATCTATAACCCTATGAGCCTATGAACAATGAAGCATTGTTTATCCTTCTTATATCCCTGCCTGACTTTGGACAAATCACTTTCTCTCTGTGGATCTCAGAATGCTCCTCTATAAATTGAAAGGGTTGACTTGGAATTGTGTGAGAAAAGTTACTAAAATGTTCATAAATAAATAATACTTTATCCTGTTCACCACCATTGACCATATGAATATTGGCTTTAGAGTCAATGCACCTGAATGAATTAAAATCCCGGTTCTACCACTACCTACCCATGTGACAGACAAGTTACTTAAGAGACTAGTTACTTAACTCCTTTGGGTCTCAATTTCTTCAATCACAAATATGTGGTTAGACTAGTTGATCCCTAGGGAACTTTTTAGATCTTTTCATATGATCTATATACATGAAGGTGATTAAAAAAAAAAA